CGCCATCTACGAGCGCATGGTGCGGGCCGGGGTGAAGCCCACGGCCACCACGTACACCGCCCTCATCAGCGCATACGGCAAGCAGGTGCGTGGTGGCCCTCGTGGGCGGGGCGGGCTGTGGGCGGCGCGATTTGCGCGCTGGATTCTTGCTGGGAGTGCAGTGACTGGAGCAGACGGACAGGGCAGAGGGGGACAGGAGAAGTGGGGCCCGGCACAGGCCCCCGCCCCCACCCCAGCCAAGGGGGCGCAGCCAAGGTGTCCCGCAGCAGCGGCGGTACGCCCTCTCACGCCGCAGAGGGGCCCGGCCGCGGCCCAGCGTCCTCCATGCGTGCCTTGACGCCGACGCATCCCAACCTCTCGCGCTGCGGCGGTGGCCCGGCCCTCTGCAGGGCAAGGTGGCGCAGGCGATGGGCATCTTTGCTGACATGGTGGCGCGCGGCTGCGAGCGCAACGTCATCACGTACAGCTCTCTCATCAGGTGACCGGGGCTGGGGTTTTCGGAGGTGAAGGCAGGGGGGGCATGTATTGGGGGTTGAGGCAGCCTTGCGAGGTAGCGGGCATGCTGAGTTCGCAAGGTGATGTTTTCAGCAGCGCTCAATGGCGCGGGCACTTGGGCCCTCGCTGCACCAGGGGTGCATAGGCGGCTCGCCGCCATCCCAGGTGCGGCCAGCCGTTGCCGCCCGCGCCTCGCGCTCACACCCCCCCTTGTCGCTGCGCCGCCCTCCCCGCCGCCCCTCGTTGCTGTGTCAGCGCGGCGGAGAAGGCGGGGCGCGCTGACCTGGCGCTGCAGCTGTTTGAGCGCATGCACCAGGAGGGCTGCCGCCCCAACGTGGTCACCTACAACTCCCTCATAGCGGCATGCGCCCACAGTGAGCCGCGGGCCCCAATATTTTTGGGGGGTGGCAGGGGGGGATGCCCATACCTCTGCGCTCCGTTGCCGCATCGCTGCTCACCCCACCACACCCCGACCCCCCCAAACAGCCCACAAGCAATCAAACCAAACAACCACATCAACCAATCGGAAGCAATGACCCAACCTTACCCCACCCTCAATCCACACCGCGCTCATCAGGTGCGCACTGGGAGGATGCCGAGCGCTGCTTCCAGCAGATGGCGGCGCAGGGCTGCACCCCGGACGGCATCACATTCTCCGCCCTCATCACCGCCTTTGAGCGCGGCGGCCAGTGGCGGCGCGCGCTGGGGGCGTACGGCCAGATGACAGCCCAGGTGCGGGGCGCCGCGCCATCGGGAGTGGGCCTCGCCGCCTGCTCCATGATCAACCCGGGCAAAAGCAGTGCACAGCGCTGCGTCCCCTCCTCGTGCGCTCGCCCTCCACGCTGCCGCGTTGCCTGGGAGGCTGACGCACAACTTTGGACCCCGCGGCCACGGCCGCCTCCCAGCGCACGCACCCGCCCATTCCACAAGGTCGGCATCCAACACTGACCCTTCACCTTCCCTCCCCCAACACACACGCACACACACACACACACACACATACACACACACACAGACATGCGCGCGCGCGCAACACGCGGAACACACCCCCATCCATCACGAC